TGGTGGCCATCGCGAGCGCCCCCAGGACCGGCCCTGTAAGTGCTGAGAACATCAGCCTGGGCCAAAGAAACTGCCTTCCCCTTTTTCTAAAACAGGTCCTTGTCATTTGTTTGCGGGAACGGGGCAGGTTTCCCTGGCAAGCTGGCTCTTAACTTTGTAGGGGATTTTATTGGGATAGCGCGCTTACCGGGGCTCCCACTGAAACTTAACCGCATCCAGGAGAGGGAAGGAGTTGTCACTGTCGCCCAGCATAGCAGGGGAGGAGCATTTTCTTCTTTGAGAAAAAGAAAAGCAACTCTAAGCCAGTTGAGCTTGAGGTCCCAGGCTTCCCTGTGTGGCCAGCAGGAAAGTGGGTAGCCTGGCCTTTCTGATGGAGTCAGGGACGGAGGGTGTCAGCTGCTGCAGAGGGCGGAAGCGTGTTGGGCTGGATGGCTCAGGCCGCTGGGTGTCAGAAGGACAAGGACCAAGGACACAACCCTAGAGATTGTGTTAAACCCGAAGCTTCCTCATTAAAGGGAGTGCAGAGCGGACGGAGGAGTATCGCCTCTCGGCTCCCCGCTTCCCATAAACCAGGCGTTTCTGGAGCAGATCCCCTCAGGGCAGCCCCCAGGGGACAGTGGCCACCCCCTTGAGCTGGGCTGGGTGTTCCCTTCTCTGGCCACCAGGGTGCCAGCCCTGGGACAGGGGTCACTATCTGGGTCCAGCACTGTCTGAAGTACTTGTGGACACAAACGAGTATGAGACAGCCCTGCGCCCGGTAGCTTAGGGTCTGGCTGGCAGACGGGTCTGATGCACGTGGAAGTCATCGAGAAGGAAGCGGGCGGGCAGGATTGCGCTCACTACGCGCCAGATGCTGGGGGCAGGGACTTCGCGTGTGGCCTCCGATCGATACTTCACGGTGACCCTGTGAGGTGGCGGTTACTGTCCCTTGCACAGAGAAGGGAATAGGGGTTTGGAGAGGTCAGTCACGCGCCCCAGGATGTAGACAGGGAAAGGCCGTGTGCATGGTGGAAGACGGGGGGTGGAGCCCCGCATGGGGCTCTGCCTGGTGGTCTGGATGAGCGCATCTGGCCACAGAGACACCTGGCCCACAGGCAGATGTGGGCCCCACCGGTCAGCGAAGGCAGGCCTTGGCGGGTCTGATTTCCTTCGTCTCCTGCTTTGTCGCCCAGATGACAGCAGCCCAGCTGACATATTTGCCGTGGGGTTCGAAGAGATGGTGGAATTGAGTGCCGGGAACATCGTCAATGCCAGGTAAGGGGCCGGGTGCAAGGGCTGTAGGTGAGCGACGTGGAACCCCCCGAGGGTTTCTCGAGCCAGGTGCAGGCCCAGGGGGCGGTCCTGCATCCGAGTCCACTGACCTCAGCCCCCGCTGTGGAGGGCCCTCTGACTGCAGTGCTTCGCTGCTCATTATGGACATAGCGACAGGCGGGTCGTCACTGTACCTTCTCTGAGGCACTGCTGCCTCGGCCCCGTGTGCTGGGAGCTGGTGTGTGAGCCTGGAGCCGGGGCAGAGGGCGGCCTGGAGGGTGCCGGTCGCCTTTCCTGGGGGGAGGCGAGGACGCAGGAGTGTGGGGAGGAGGTACCGCTCCACCAGGTCCTCAGGAAGGACACCGCCAGGTGGCAAGTCAGCCAGACCTTCTCTTTCCTAAACTGGTGCAGCTTTATTTCTGAACAAATGAGAAAACCAGAGTCTCTGGAGCTCTCACGAGCAAGGTCCCGTGCTGGGTTTCAGGCAGCAGGGGTGGGGTGCAGTGTGTGCTGTGATGTGTGTGACACAACCGGGGCGGGGGTTGTGGTAGAAGCCCCCATCTCTGACGCAAGGGTTCCTCGTCCACTGGAGAGGCACAGGGTGATCCCGGGGGGTGGTGCCTGGTGGCGGTCCCCGAGGCGGCTGTGGGGGAGCTTACGGGTGAGAAGTCAGTGACAGCTGTCTCTTCTCATCAGGTCCTTCACCTGCAGCTCGAGAGCCTGGGGCTGAGTTCAAAGCCCGTCGCCGACCGCTTCGTGGAGTCCTTCAAAGCCATGTGGTCCCTGAATGGGCACAGCCTGAGCAAGATGTTCACAGGCAGTCGGGCCCTGGAGGGGAAGGCCAAGGTCGGGGCAGGCCGCAGGGAAGTGTGGGGAAGGATGGGGGCCTGCGGGATTCCGTCTCACGGCCCGTGGTCCGGCTCTCGGCAGGTGGGGAAGCTGAAGGACGGGGCCCGCTCCGTGTCTCGCACCATCCAGTCCAACTTCTTTGACGGGGTGAAGCAGGAAGCCATCAAACTGCTGCTGGTCGGGGACGTCTACACCGAGGAGGCTGTGGACAAAGGAAGGATGCTGCTGGACAACACGGCCCTGCTGGGTACGGCGGCCCCTGCTCTGTGGCGTGAAGGCACCCGCTGCCCCACCCCCGGGGGGCATGGAGGAGGTGCTAGCCAGCCCTTCCACCCCTCACGTGACCCCAGCTGGCTGGAGGTGGACACTCCCGAGCTGTAGGGCAGAGGGAGGGAGCCTCTGTGCTCTGCACCCTGCTGTGAGTTCAGCTGGACCAGTTGACACGAGCGGTTTGCAACTGTGTTCGGTATTCTTTTATGAGATGGCCAGTCGTGTGTGGCCACAAGAGGAGGCAGAGCGACTCAGGAGAAAAAACAAAGTTTTTTATATTCACGGGGCCTAGAGATGGCAGGGTTCGGGGCCACCCAGGGCCACATGGAAAATCCCCAGGGCGGCCAGGAGGCAGAAGGCAGGAGCCAGGGAGCACATAGGCCACGGCCTTTATCGGGGTTTCCGTGGGAAAGGCAGGGCAGGGCAAGCAGCGTGGGGCTGGCCAGTTTGAATGGTTCTGGTGGGCTCTGGCTGCCCGGTTCCTGGTCCTGGGATGGCTACGCTAAGGAATATTGCGTCCCGGGGTGTAGAGAGGAGACAGGAACGTGGATGGGTTCGTTTTCACATTGCACACGTATCCTGGGCTTCTTTACAACAGCCGATGTGTAGAAACAACCTCAGTGTCTGCGGTTGTTGTATATAATGCGATATTACTCGGCCATAAGAGAGATGAAATATTGCCATTGGCAACAACATGGATATCTTGAGGGTATTATGCGGAGTGAAATAAGTCAGGTGGAAAAGGACAAAAACCATACGTTTCACTCCTGTGCGGTGGAATATGCAGAGGAGGCGAAGGAAGAAAACAAAACCAGAATAAACTCACAGATTCAGACAACAGAATGGTGGTCACGAGAAGGGAAGGGGGTGGAGTGGAGATGAATGTGGGGAAAGGGGGTTAATTGTATGGCGATGGATGGAAACTAGACTTTTGATGGCGAGCATGCAGCAGAGGATACAGGTACCGAATTATGGTATCGTACGCCGGAAACGTCTATGATGTCATTAGCCAATGTTATCTTAATGAAAATAATTTTAAAAAGAAAAGACAAATTGGCTATGCCCGGGATGGCAGTGTCTCCCCAGCCAAAAAGGTTTCTTAAGATGACTAAAGTTTTCGTAATATACACAGAAAATAAAAATATGCATACAATGCCAGCTGTCACTGCGTTTCCCAGGCCCCTGTGCCTTGTGGCCTCGAGTGGCGGCCCACC